CTTCGCGCATGTCTACGGGTGACGAAACCGACCATATGTAGATGAATCGCGAATCGCTTCGTTGTAATTATATTTAAAATAGTCCCAGAAGGCTCGTGAGCAACCCATAGATAACACCTAGATAGAAATTCAGGGCAGTGTTATAGACATGTTAAAACAATGGTCTGCCTCATAAGCCTCCGTCCTTAGACCTTGATATTGACAATTGAGATGATTTACCACAAACTGCTAGATATCCGTAGATAACTATGATTAGCAAGCAATCTAGGCCGGATAAAACAATCTAATTGATCTAATCTATCTTTCAACAGGGTGAAAAGCAACTTTCAAATGTTGTCTAAGCTTAGAACGTTGGAAGGTTCCGTGCCTCATGTCAGCGATGATTCTCGTCTTGGAGCCCTGGAGCCATGAGCCTTGGGGGGAACTACCCTACGTAGCCCTGGAGGGACTTTTTCTCTTCCCTCTGCTCTTTCCATCTCTTCCCCTTTTATCTCTTCCTCCCTTTCGACGCATCAAAACAACACGTCCTGCGTTGTTTTCATCTTTTCCCGCACTCTGACCTTAGTTGATGTTTCAACTGCCTTGACCTTCAGTGTTAAAAGTCACTCAAAATGGAGTCTGCAGCAAACCCTAGTAACGTTAACCTTTCTAATCAAGAGGGGGAGAACGTGCTGGTTGGCGGTGTTTCCCGTGAGCAGGAAAACGTAGTCCAAGCTGCAAAGACTGAGCTCAACGTTGAGAGCCCAAACCATGAGGGAAATGAGCACGCAAAGGGTCTCAAATTGGCTTTGATTGCACTAGCGTTGTGCCTGGGAGTTTTCCTGGTAGCTCTTGGCATGTTTATATTTTCCTTGTCCTTTAAACCTTCCGAGGTTGGAGGTTCACTGCCGGGCCTAGCTAACACATATTCTCTTACACTGCAGACAACTGCATCATTGCCACGGCAATTCCAAAGATTACAGACCAATTCCACAGCCTTGACGATGTCGGCTGGTATGGAAGTGGTACGCTAAATCACGAGGCAACTTCGGCGATGGACGTGAACTGATCATTTTCTTTAACTTTTCTTCCAGCATACCTTCTCGCCACAGCTTCGCTCCAGCTACTTTTCGGAAAATTCTACACCTTTTTCAATGTCAAATGGACCTTCCTCGCCGCAATTGGAATTTTTGAACTCGGCAGTCTGATCTGCGCCGTGGCTAACAGCAGCCTGACACTTATTATGGGCCGTGCCGTTGCGGGAATGGGATCCGCGGGTATTTTCTCGGGCTCGCTCATCATTGTCGCCCACGCAATCCCCCTAGCGAAGCGCCCATTGTTCAATGGCTGTATCAGTAGCATGTTTGGCATTTCATCCGTGGCTGGGCCTCTGCTTGGTGGGCTCTTCACCGACAAAGTCTCATGGCGCTGGTGTTTTTACATCAATCTTCCCGCTGGGGCTGTCACAATTCTCGTGATTGCAATCTTTTTCCCTGCCCCCAACCACCATAACAAGAAAACGACATGGACGGAGCGTATTAAGAAGTTCGACCCCATGGGTACAACTCTCTTTCTCCCTGCCATTGTCTGCTTGTTGCTAGCTCTTCAGTGGGGTGGTACCACCTATGCCTGGAACAGCTGGCGCATCATTGTGTTGTTTTGCTTCTTTGCTGTTCTCATTATCCTGTTTTCAGTTGTTCAGTACACCCAGAAAGAGAATGCTACAGTGCCACGACACATTCTCTCTCGTCGGACTATCTGGTCTGCTGCATTTTACAGTTTCTCCGTCGGCGCTGCCTTCCTCTCTTCTGTTTACTTCTTGCCCATGTGGTTCCAGGCTGTGAAAAACGCCAGTCCAGTCAGCTCAGGTATCATGAACCTACCTATGTTGATTTCAGTGGTGGTCACCTCTCTCTTGGCGGGAATTATTATCACCTTCATCGGTTACTACACACCCTTTATGATTCTCGGTTCAATCCTTCTCGCTATCGGATATGGTCTGATGAGCATGTTCCATACAGACACGTCTAAAGGTATCTGGATCGGCTATCAGATAGTTACCGGTGCCGGTGCAGGTTCCGGGATGCAGCAATCTCTGATCGGTGTTCAAGTTGTCCTGCCTCTTGCTGACGTACCCACTGGCACGGCTATGATCATCTTCGCCCAGACTCTTGGCGGTGCTCTCTTTGTTTCCATTGGAAACAACGTTTTTAGAAACAAGCTTGTTGAGTATCTCGCCAAGTACACTCCCAAAGTGGATGTGGCTTCGATCCTCAAGGCCGGCGCCACTGGCCTCCAAAATATTGTTGACAAACATGACCTACCCGGAGTCCTCCATGCTTATAACGACGCACTTGTCCAGACCTTCATTGTCAGTGCAGCTATGGCTTCTATCAGCATGATCGGCGCTTTGTGTATGGAGTGGAAAAGTGTGAAGGGAAAGAAGCTCGCACCGGGAGGAGCCGCATGATTTTCCATACGCGACATCTCCATTCCAGCTTGGGAAGCTTTCGTCCTATGTAAGGGCCCTAAACTCTTCTTTGCTGGACTCTACAACCCTTGTGGTTGGATAATTGGGGCGAGTGATTGTCCCCAAGCCTTTATCGATGGTTCGATTAAAAGTGCGTAAGGCCGACGGAAATGAAAAATTCCTGCTCAATGGCATGTACGTATCAAACGAATTAACAAGTCATTTCACTATTCCGTTAAATGTAGCTCATTATATTGCACTATCAAATCCCAACATTTGAACTCTGCTTATCGGCCAGTGATAACCCTAAACTGCCACCCGTGGACCTCGGGACCTGACCAGCCTGGGCAGCTAACCCAATACGTCTTAGCGTCCTGTTAACCCCAGATAAGCAGCGGAGAACATCGAATTTCAGGTTGACTTCACAATATCTTATCATCCCATGGGACATTACACTCTATGAAATGCCGAGCAAGCGACGGATTTTATCCTGCCAGCCGTGTCGGCGCTTAAAGACACGATGCGAAGTTCTTCCGGGTTCGAGGCAATGTGCTCGGTGTATCTCCCTCAGGTCGGTGGCTGAATGTAATCCCATAATTTAGGAGGATTGATGGGAGATTAATCAGACAACGAATAGGCTTGAATGCTCCCTTCCATCCACATCTGCTATCACAAGCCCGGATTCAAGGTCTACCGGCAGACCAGGGAGGGCTTCTGACCAGCATCTTGGATGCCATTGTGCAAACCGGTATTGTATTTCTAACTCCGCTTGTATAGACCGACGCTCCGATTACTAACCGATAAGCACCAGACTTGATGCCATTGAATCCTCACTCGCTGAGATGAAAGAATTACTGAAATCTCACCTTCTCGGCAATGAGCGGTCAATGACAAGAGATCTTACCAATGAAATGCATGGCACGAGTAATAATTTACTCCCGAGAAAGGATATCAATGATAGCAAAGCCGCTATGCACGTGCCCTCAGAGACAGACATATCGGCAACCACCGACATCCAACCAGCACCAATCACAGTGGTCCGCCACGTTGGAAGTCTAATCACGGAGCCCGTAACAACCGGGGAGAACGACTCGCTCCGTGGAAATATGACCGAGATGGGCTTGGACTCGGACAGTTTTGCCAGCGTTTTCCAGCACGGCTTTGAGCAGATAGCATCATGGTACCCATTTCCTAATGAGACCCTGACGGATCTCAAAGAGAACCATCCGCTGCTCTTTGCCGTATGTCTTCTAGCAGGAATCCGAGCAACAGCCGGTCTAAACCGCACCAACTTGCACATAACCCTTCATACGTTGGTCAAGACCCACTTGGGCATGAAGACTTTGGATACACCCATTGATATCTCTACCATACACGCCATGCTTATCTTTAGTGCCTGGAGTTTTGGGCCTCTAGTGCCAGGTGGGAGGTATATTGATAGCTGGCTGATGAGCAGCACAACCATCACCCACTGCATGCTTAGTTTTCCTCTATCTGAGCTTGTGTCGCTCGTGGGCTTGTACGATGAAACAAATCGGAACATGTGCCGGATGTGGATTCAGGCGTCGCTGGTACATCTGAAGTACGTACTCTTCAAAGTGACAATGGTAAAATCGGGTTAGAATTGGCATCAAAACTGACTAAATTTCAAGATATGCAATTGGCACCGGTCGGCCATCAGTAGTTTCATGCGACCGTCTTCATCAGTGGACAGAGATTGTCAAATACCCAGGGTTTGAAGCATTCGACCACATCATTGCCGCAGAGCTCAAGCTCTATATTCACCTGTACGAAGCCATTTATCACACCGTCAGTTCAGTGCCGGAGGCCTGGGAGAACGTGAACAGATGGGGACGCAAATATCTTGGAGGTGAGCAAGTTAATTTAAGCGTGCTGGTGTACTAGGTTTCATACTAACTTTCAAACACAGAAGGCAACAATATACTAAGATGGGCGCACTCTTGCGCATCCTTAATTTTATCTCGCTGGGAACTTGCAAAGCAGAACCAATCCACGTCTCCGAACGCGCTGATGCATGGCGAGCGTATCAACGAGCTGACTGAAACGGTTATTCGTTATGCTCAGCGGGTACTGAGAGAGATTTTCGTCCTCTGCACCGCTGAGACTCCGTTTGTTAGACCAACATACGACTACCTGCTGACCGCATATGCGGGCGTCACTCTAGCAGAGTACTGTGCGAGTATATCAGATGTGCATGCAACATATACGCTGATGGAAGATGTTCGGACGCAGGCTAGGATTCCCAAGAGCATCGAGGGAGTATTTAGTTGGGCAACGAATGTTGTGCAGAAGAAGGCAAAGGATGTTTTGGACTCGAAGGTGGCAGTAATTCCTGATGACACATTCTATTCATACCCGGGCTCGGTCGCAGACTGGGCACCATTTCGGTTCATTGATTCGATGCCCGCTTCTGATTGGGACGGGATGAATGGTTCTATGCAGCAATTTTGAAATCTATACAAGGGACGTTGTTTATTACTTCACGGTAGTCTGGATTGGAATACATATCTCCCCGAAAAAAATATTATCTTCAATCAGAAATAGGTTTTCCGTGCGAGAGTTCAAGTCGGTTGCGATGCCACTGGACGTGAAGGTTAGCTACGGCCCGCACCGACCAAGGTTAAATGGAGATAAAACTTACCTTCCCACAAGAGATAGGCTCATAAAGCGCAGGATGAGTCTCATCAATACACGAAGGCACAACCTTACAAACCGAATCTGGATTGAAACCCAGGAAGAAAGGCATCGAGTACCTGGAGGTAGGCTGCCGATTATAAACCCTATGCACGGTAGACTTGAACCTATTATTCGAAAGACGCTGCAGGAAGTCGCCAATATTAACCACCAGCGTGCCAGCTATAGGCCGAGCATCGAGCCACTCATCACTGGCAGACAGGACCTGCAAACCGCCAGACATATCCTGCCACAGAAGAGTGACACACTGGATATCGGTATGAGAACCGATGCCGACATCGACATTCCCATTGTTCTCCTCAACCATATCGGCTGGTGTAGGTGGATAGTGTACGTAAAGCCCGTCTGCGCCGGGGTTAGTGGTCACAGCGTCAAAGTAGTCTTCTGGCATATCCAGAGCGAGCGCAAAGATACGGATCATCTTGCGCGCGAGCATGAGTCGGCGCTGATAGAATTCAACTGTCGTTTCGTGGAATCCAGGGAGATGACTTGTTGTCTCCCATGCAAAGTCATTGTCGCCGGACAGCTTGTCCGGGTCGGAGACAGTTGGGTCATTCTTGGGATTGTAGCGCAGAGAGAATGTCTCTTTGCGATCTGAGAACGTTTGTTAGTCATTGGCAATATGACCAGGATATGCATGCCCAGGTGGGAGTGAGAAGGGGATGGTTACCCCTTGTTTCAGTTTTGTTGACTTGGGTAGTTCCCAACCCATGCCATCCATCAGCGTTCTTTTGAATCTTGCTTGATGCTAGCTGTTTCTTCTCAATAGGCTGGTCGAAGAAAGCTTTTGCTTGTGATAAGGCATTCTGAATGAGCTCTTCTGGGATCCCGTGATTTTTGATATAGAAGAAACCCGTGCTCTCGGCCGCTGCTCTGACTTTGGATGCGAGGGATTTTCTTGCTTCTAGATCCTTGTCGATACAAGCGAGATCTATGATCGGAATCTCATCCTCCGTTGGCGGCCGCGGAGGAGCAGTGGATACCCGGCGGAATTCTGGACCGCTGAGTGTCAAGAGCTCGACTTGAGTATACTCGAGCAGGGTTGTCATGATTAGTTCGATAGATGGCCAATACCAACTCGAGGATGGTCGTGAATTTATCCACGGTTCTTCTCCCCGCAATATGTTTGGGAGATCAAAGAGTCAAATCCACCGATAACCGTCGGAGAACGCGTTGCGACGGCAATCGCCGGGCTAATCACCATACGCCCACATGCAAATGTGGTTGGTTGAAATGATAAGCTGAGATAGGCCGTTACATGTGTTACATTTGTTGTGCTTTTTTAATTCTCATGAGATAGCATCGTCGGCGCCTCTCTGGATAGTGGTGTTTTGCAGGCTGCCAGTGGACAATTGCGGGTGACTCCTTATCAGTCCATTGGTCACTCCGAATTGTCAAAGTAGCCCTAAAAAGCACGATATATCCTGCACGTACTCCGTACTTCTCCGCCATCTTCTCCCCCTTTATTCAAGTTTCAGGGTTCGCCACTAAGATCAGCACTCGAATTCGACCATCTTTTATCTTTTTACGTTTTTCTCCACCCTCTATCTACCCCACTAACTCAATACAACTCCAACTATGTCGAAACTATCTCGACTGCATGAGCTCCTAATAGTGAAAAGAACTCAACGAGATGGCGTCGAGCGCCCGGTTGATATGCTTGATAATGACTCTATCCGACCGACACCAGTAAAGGATCGAACATGGTCCCAACTCACCTACATGATGTTCTGGTTCTCTGCGACTGCGAACGTCAGCAATCTGTATACAGCTTCCACGGGAATGTCCATGGGATTGACCATGTGGGAAGCAATCGGATGCTCCTTTGGCGGTCAGATTCTTGCTGGTGCCTTGATGGCTGTGAACGGGCGTGCTGGTGCCATGTATCGCATTCCGTTCCCTGTTCTTTGCCGCTCCAGCTTTGGGCATTGGGGAGCACTGTGGCCTACTTTTAATCGCGCAGCTATGTCAATTGTATGGAATGGTGTCAACACCGTTCAGGGAGGGCAATGTTTATAGTGAGTTCTTATCCTCATTTCGCTCCTTTCCACGGCGAGCGAAGCGCGGAAAGTGTGGCTATTGACCTTCGTTCCTAGTGTCTTCCTGCATGCTATATTCCCTTCTATTGAAAACATCCCGGATAAGATGGGATCTAAGTCCGCTCTGACTTCAGCACAAATGATGTGTTTCTTTATCTACTGGTACAGTGACTAGTATCCCAATGCATGATCTATGCTTAACCCGTCTCGACAGGCTTGTAAATTGTGCATTCTTAGTGGTGCCTGTACCAAAGATGAAGTCTCTGGTCTATATCAAAGTTGTGGTTTACTTTGGCGCAGCCTTTGCTATGCTGGGGTGGACTGTGTCTCTCGCCGGTGGCTCTCTGAAGACAATCAATGCTCCTTCGGAGGTCAAGGGCACCGAGAAAAGTTATCTTATTTTCAAGTTCCTCTTCCTGGGACTCGCAAGTTGTGGAACCTTTATCTCCAACGCGTCCGATCTCCAGCGATATGCTACAAAGCCCAATGACGTCCTCATTGGCCAGTTTGTCAGCTTCCCGCTGTCGAACTTCCTAGTTGCCATTTTGGGAAATCTTATAGCATCAGCTAGCAAAGCCATCTTTGGAGAGGTTTGTTGTATCAAAAACATTGTTTAAAACCTTTGGACTAACAAGATTCCCTAGCTCATCTGGAACCCGCTGAACTTCTTGGACAAATTGATGGAAGGAGAGCGATACACCTCTGGCAACCGCGCGGCCTGTGCCTTCATTTCTCTAGCATTTGTTTATTCGACCGTCTTCTCTGCCATTTTTGAGAACTCTATCCCGTACGAATCCAATCTCCTTTTTCCACATTTCTATGTCAAATACTAACCACCCTCAGTGCCGGTAACGACATTGCAGCCCTACTACCAAAATACATTTCAATCAAACGAGGATTCTTTATTTGTGCCGGTAAGAAAAAGAAGAAAAGAACTTGGAAAATCCCACTTGCCTTAACATGAGACTAACAAAAAACCACTAGTCCTCTCCTATGCAATCTGCCCCTGGTATCTCCTCGCATCAGCCTCAATCTTCATCACATTCCTCTCCTCCTACCAGATCTTCCTCTCGGCAATTACCGGGATTCTCATCTGCGATTACTATCTCATCCGCCGAGGGCTGCTCAACATTCCAGCCCTGTACGTCTCACGCCCAAGTCCATACCGGTACTTCCATGGATTCAACCTACGCGCCTTCTTGGCCTACGTTATTGCTATTGCACCAAACTTTTACGGGTTCCTTCACCAGATGGGTGTCAAGGCTCCTCTAGGTATCCAGCGATTCTACTTTATCGCTTACCCTACTGGTCTGATTGTTGCGTTTGTTGTTTATTACTTGTCATGCTTGGCTTTCGCCCCGGCTGATATGAAGAAGGGATCTGGATGGATGGAGCCCAAGGACTTTGTGGAAGATAATGATGCTTCTGGTAGTGATGGATACGCTATTAATGCTGTTGAGCCCGGTTATGCGGAGAAGGGGGCTGTATCGGTTACTACAGCAGCTCATGGTGAAAAGAGTTCGTTTTAATGAGATATGTCTAGGAGAATTTGGGGGTGCTTAGATTGCAGAAGGAAGCATGATTAATATTTCGGAGCTATAGCTTAATGCCTACAACCGGAGCCCATATACACAGAATTTGAGAGATTTATTTTTATTCTATACGCTTCGTTTATTCTTTAAAGTAATTATGTGTACTGAATTGAATGGCTTCTCTGATTAAGAACAGACTGAGGCTCCACCGCAGGTTCCACCCCCGGGCCGTGATATGGAATCCTCTTTCTCGTATAGCCCTAGAGCTCCATAAAGCCAATAAAGCCATAGCCCAACCCAATCCAACCTGCAAATGGGCTGGGCTTTGGGCCCTACCTTCGAGCCTACCGGTAGGCTATGGGCCTAAGCAGAAGCCCACTACGGGTTAATAGGCCCCCAAATAGGCCCTAAACAGTACAATATGCCGAGAATTCAGAAGTTGAACCCCCTTTCAGTGTTTTTAAAATTACCCTTCGTTCTACCCCCGTTTCTAAGCCCTATACTAAATGTAATATTTAATTGGTTCAAATAAGTTAGAATTAAATACTAGTTATCTCTCGATATTATGTTTAAGAACGCGAGAAGACGCGTTATTTAGATAATATATAAATTACAGAAGTTCATTTAGAAAGTAATAAAACTCCTATATAAATCCCAAATGTATATCTTATCAAAACTTTAATATTAACCTTTTTCGCGCTAAGATCTTATTTAAATTTAAAATATATACTTATATAGTTACTACAATCCTAGATTCTAAATTTGAACATTATATGCCTAGTGAAAGGTCATAATATAACGATTACAGAGGCCGCTTAAGAAAGACATTAATGGGGGCCTTATGGGCCCCACGAATGGGCTGTGGGTTGGGTTGGGCTTCGAAGGTTAGGTCCACAGCCCACTGCTGGTTGGGCTCTGGGCTTTGCGGAACGCTATGTAGCCCTCCGCCGACTTCGGCGAAACCTGCGATCCTATATTGCTGTTATATTGATACGCTTCTATGGCCACCCATACTGTCACGGCTTGTCCTATCATTATACAGAAACCCTCGCATGATCGACGGTAGAGAGTTTACCGTGTAGGCAGATTTCACCCCCGGGGACTGGCGCCCCGGCACATGCCCTCTATGAAATGGGAACGAAAAGTAGGTAATCCTTTGCAGTTAGTGATAAACCAATAGCACTAACGTCCGTGGCACACTTCGTGCAACCTTCTAACATTAGATCCAATCAAACCAACTGATAGTTGTAAATACATATTGAATATGCAAGAAACTCCTATCTGTCTACAGCAGCGGTGTATCAGCAAAGATATTACCCATCATCCTATACAAGCGATCAGTAAGGAGCCTCAGATATCCAAAAAGGCAGAGAGCAACTTACATAGCAGGGTACCGAGTTCCAACGATCTCCGTCTGCTCTACCAAGTCCCGGATATCCTGCACCTCCTTGCCCGTAAGTTGCAACAAAGCGGACTTAGTGTTCTCATCAACCCTCTCGGTGGACCTGGTTCCTGGAATAGGGAAGATATCGGGTCCCTGAGCAAGCAGCCACGCAATAGCAACCTGTGCAGTGGTACTCCCATGTACATGGGCCACACTCTTCAGCCCTTCTACCAGCTCCAAGATCTTAGGGAAGTTCTCCTCCGAGTACTTCGGCATGATGCGACGGAAGTCACCCTCAGGGAAATCAGCAGGAGACTGAAACTGTCCAGTCAATATTCCACGTCCCACGGGGCTATAGGCCACAACCGCGATACCCAACTCGCGGCATGTCTTTAGGAGGTTGACCTTAGGTGACTCGATGTCCAGTGCAAAGGCACTATACTCCACTTGATATGCGGTAATAGGATGGACAGCGTGGGCTCGACGGAGAGTTGCTTCTGAAACTTCAGACAGGCCGAGATATCTGATCTTTCCTTGGCTATATACTCAAACCATTAGTGAATACACCGATGAAGTGCGATTGGAGAACGGGGAAGGGAGAGGAAGTAGGGGAGGTAGGGAAGGGGAGAAGCATTATCCTACTTCTTCAATTCAACCATGGCTTCGACAGTCTTCTCAATAGGCGTCACTCCATCCGCTCGGTGGCAATAATACAAGTCAATGGTGTCAACACCAAGTTTCTCAAGGCTCTTCGCGCAAGCCTGCTTGACATATTCGGGATCAGAGCGGACAGACATACCCCCATTCGGGTCCCGCTGGATAGCAAACTTGGTTGCCAGGAAGATATCGTCACGCTTACCAGAGCGCTTGAACCATTCACCCACAATATCTTCGCTATCGGCATATAAATCGGCAGTATCCCAGAACCACTGTCCGTTGGCATGGGCATGCTCTAGGAAAGCGACCTTTTGATCCAGCGTGCCCGCTGGACCATATATTCCACCGATACTCATCAGGCCCAGGCCAACAGCAGGCACTTTAGGGCCGTTGTGGCCGAGAGCTCGAATGGGAATAGACATTGCTGCGTAGAGATTCAATATGTTTCAGAGGGATTTTATAACTAAGAGGGGAACAAAATATTGAGGGGAGGGGCTCTTTAAATATGTTACGTGGAATTAAACAGCACTGGATTCATTAAAGTTATGAGGGGAAAGATCATGCATAACTACATATGTACGGAGTACACAAGTACGTAGGGAGTATGAAGTTGGACGGACCTCGGGAGTTCAGACGGACTTAACCAAACGCCGGCCTTAGCTGCGGTGGAAGAATCCACATGTACGTACATATTTAGCGTGCCCGAGAGTGGCTTACAATAAATAGTTTAGAGTAGTCCACAGGGGCATAGAGACTATATAGACTGGTTTTTGATACACCGGAGATAGATAGAGGTCTGACTGACTGCAGGCAAGCTCCTTGGCAAGACTTCGCTGATATCTTGTTACTTTGGATGCCTGAGAACGTCATATAATTTTAAGTGTTGCTAAAAATTACCTTGATTTCTTCTGTGACGTAATATCCGGTGTATTTGGTAAAGGACAGTTGTTGAAAGTCTGACATCTGGACTTATATCTTCACGGCCCATAGCTTGGAGTCCTTTGTTGAATAGGGAAGATATAGACCAAGATAAAATTCTTCAGCAGCATTCACTAATTACAAATAAGGCACCTGGGGACTAAAAGAAAATGCAAAGCTAGTCTCCTTACATGGAACCTGGTATTTTTCCAGTGTACCAGGGCCACACCGCGCAGTTCCCAGTCCTGCGTGTGCAGCATCTAACCGAAGAAAGACGTCTTCCCTCCTCTCCAATTCTGTTGGATGGTTCGCTTTGGCAATATCTTTCCCACTGTAATGCAGTGCCGCAAAGTCGAACTCCCCCCATGTCGTCCCAGCATCATCAACTCGCGTCACCACGAACCCAACACCCTCGCTGTTCGTGAGCTGAAGCCAGCGTGTGCCCGCACGATTTCCATTCTCCTGTGGATACTCATAAGACGTGAAGAGATTATCCGGGGTACGGCTATGTAAACCGAGCTTTTGGGAGTTGCGCTTATCAGCATAGGATTCCTCGGGTCCACAGCCAAACCAATTTACCGACGCGAAATCGGAGGGTAGCTGCATATCGAGACCTAAGCGAGGAAGTATTTTCGGATGATAGCCACGAGGACGAACGTTGTGAGAAATTACAACTGTACCATCCCCATAGATTGTGTAGACAATGGTGCTCGTAAATCCCCAGTCTCGTATAACAGCTCCGATGTAGGCCTGAACAGTAATCTGAACGCTGTCCTTATCTGAGGACTGCAAAGAGATGGAGATCACCCGTTGTTGTAGGTTGTCAAGAGAGTAGGCACCCCATCGTTCAGCGTCGTACTTCGTGTCATTTTCTGTCGGCGTTCGCCAGGCTGCAAAGGTTGGTGCTGTTGTGAACAATTTCTGGCCATGCATCGTCCAGCCTGCCAGGCGACCCCGGATTCGATCAAACTCGATGGAGAATTTAGAGCCAGTCACGTAATATGAAGGTATTGTTTCTTGAATTTGAATCGACAAATCCTGCTGCACTGTGGCCGGAATGCTTGGCTGTTTGTGCTCCGAGAGCGAGGATTGGCACCACGCGACTTCATGGCCCGTTTCTGCCCATAATGTAGGTTGGGATATCTGAAGGCTCACGGTAACCCAGCATTCCAGAATATTTTCTGGGAGAGTTGGAAGCCCCGGGAGTAAAATGGTGGCTGTTTTAGAAGGCTGCACTTTTGGACAAGGCTTGCGATCCATGATAATTGTTTGCTGCTCACTGGATAGTCGTTAGCTCTTTGACGACAAAGGGACCGTATCTTTTTGAAACTTACTGGCCATCGAATGTACATATTTGAATGACGACAGACAGAGTTTCCAGAGAATCAAAGTCGAACAAGTTTTGCAACACAATTTGCCCATCCTGGATGAAAAGTTTGACAGGTTCGATCGCCTTTTTGAGCTCCACCATGCCACGTCCTGGAGAGTGGTCAGACTGACAAAGTCCATCCAAAGCAAAAGTACCATCATGTGGGAAGTCTCCAAAGTCGCCTCCGTAAGCGAAATAGCTTTTGTCTTCCCTCCATAGTCCAAGATTGGCAAACTCCCAGATGAAGCCTCCTTGCAAGCGTCGATATTTGTGAAACAATTGCTGATACTCTTCTAGTGCTCCAGGTCCATTTCCAATTGCCATTCCATACTCACAGAGTATGACAGGCTTGTCGAACTCATCGCCCTCGGCTAATGCTTTTCGCTCCAGATTTTCAAGCTCCACGTACATGAATGAACACATGTCTGCAGTCTTCGATTTTCTGTCGCCTTCATAGTGGACAAGGCGAGTTGGATCGTGCTTTTTGGCATATTCTGACATGGAGACATGGTTGCATCCATACCAGGCCTCGTTGCCCAAGCTCCAGATGATGATGGATGGGTGATTCTTATCGCGTTGAAGCATCTGGGTAATCCGATCCAAGTACGCTTCGCGCCATGATGGGTTATCACTAGTGTACTTCGCCAGAACTGGGCTAAGGTACTCCTCAATGGATTCTGAGCCGTTTTCTCGCCAAACACTCTCAGGGACGTTCTTCATATCAACGTCCCCGCGAATGAAGCCATGGCATTCGAGATCGGCCTCGTCAATTACCCACAAGCCGATCTCATCACAAAAGTCGTAGAATTTTGGATGGGATGGGTAGTGAGAGCATCGAACAGCGTTGACGTTGTGCTGTTTCATTAGAATCAGATCATTCTTCAAGAATTCCAGCGGCACCGCGCGCCCGTTTAAGGGGTGAAAGTCATGATGATTGACACCGCGAAACAAAATGGCTTTTCCGTTGACTGTGATGTTTCCATTGCGGAGTTCCACTTGCCGAAATCCAATTTTTTGCTTGATCGTTTGATTGTTGCCATTCGGGGATATGAGGATTAGATCCATGTTGTAGCGATATGGGGTTTCTGCAGTCCACTTCTTGGGGGCCAAGAATGGCAATTCCACCTCCAAGCTTTCACGACCGGCTGGAACTGTCTGGGTCGCGTGTTGAACGAGAGAGTCGTCGTGATCCCGAACCTTGACCTCGATGCTGCATTCCTCCTCAAGGTGGAGTTGAAGACCAATCTTCAAGGTTGCATTTTCATATTTTTCATCAAGCCAGGTTTGAACAAAGAAGTCTTCAATTCTGGCCGTAGCCGAGAAAGCTAAAAGATGGACATCTCGAAAGATACCTACATGATGTTAATGATATTGAAAGATCCATAAGAGTGCGGTATACTCACTAGATAGCCACCATTGATCCTGGTCTTCGAGATAGCTGCCATCGCACCATTGATATACTCGCACAGTAACTTCGTTGTCCCGCTCCAAGAAAATGTAGTTGGTAATATCGAACTCGGCAGGATTCCGGCTCCCCTGGCTATAGCCAACCTGATTGCCATTGACGAAAAGATGGAAGGCACTGTCGACCCCATCAAACCTGAGTCGTATCTGAGATGACCGATCCCAATCCGATGGGATGTTAAATCGTCTTCTGTATGTCCCCACTTGGTTCTCAGTCGGAACAAAGGGTGGATCAATCGGGAATGGATAAGGCACGTTCGTATAATGAGGCTTGCCGTATCCTTGCAATTGCCAGTGGGCTGGGACCTGGATAGATTTCCATTCGTCGACCTGGTGGAAGGGGGTCGGTGCAAGGTGGAAGTCCCAAATTCCGTTCAAAACAATGGCGTCTTCAGGGATCCAATATGCACGTGTTGGGAGACGATTACGATGAATCACAAACTCATTGGAAAAGTCAGGTCTCTCAGTGTTTGAACCCATGATGACTGCTACAGGATGAAAGACTATGAACGAGATGATCCATCTTTATAACAGAAGTCGATGGTTTTTCATCTTGCGTCGTTGTGTTCAACCGAGATTCTGACTGGCTCGTGGGAGTAATTCAAAGTCCCGCGGAGGAATTATGCAGATTCATTCAAGCCAACTGGTAGTCCCGCAACGTAAACATTCGAGGATGTGTGGGGGTACACCCCGGATGAATACGCGTATTGGAATAATGTGGGGGCGGTTTGACTCGTTCGAGGCCTGGGGACTCGGGGTACTCCTAGCCTCTCCGCGGACAATTTGTGGATATTCCAACGGCTATACAAGTTGAAGGGCCGTGCATACGCGTATCCCCATAACCCCGGATTAGCGTTCAGATTAAGATATCCCTTGGCACACTCTTTCGGATATAGATTTTCTTCCTTTGTGTCCCGAATTGGATTTTGTTGGATTTCATTGGATTTTATTGAGCAGTGACTCCCGTCTTTCTGAATTCTCCGTGGATTTCGTTTTCACTTTAGGTGACAATACTATGACATGTGTCAATGCTGGAAAGACTTACTGTATATACATATGTACTCATGGAGCGCTGTTGATCAATTGGCTATCTTGGAGTGCAGATTTCACAATTCACTATGACGGACGATAAAGAAAAAGGCATGTTCTCGGCTAGCGATATTGTCACAGATCGCAATACCTCAGCAACGGACTTCCCCCGTGTCGAAGAACTACCACTTCCCAAAGACTTCGCATGGGGTACAGCTACTGCGGCATACCAGGTTGAAGGAGGTGCATTTCAAGATGACAAGGGAGCGTCAATCTGGGATACTTACTCTCATTTGGAACCGTCTCGTACCAACGAGGAAAACGCCGATGTTGCCTGCGACCACTACAACCGCGTTGAAGAAGATGTCAAATTGATGGCCTCTTTGGGTGTCGATGTCTACCGCTTCTCCATTTCCTGGTCTCGAATTATTCCCCTTGGGGGACGCAATGACACCGTCAATGAAAAGGGGATTGAGTTTTATAGCAATTTGATCGACCAACTCCTGGCCCATGGTATTGAGCCCGTTGTCACTCTCTACCACTGGGACGTACCCCAAGCGCTCTACGATCGGTATAGAGCCTTCCTGAACACCAAGGAGTTCCAGGCTGACTTCGAAAATTACGCACGCCTGTGCTTCACCCGATTCGGTGATCGTGTTCAGAAATGGGTGACTTTCAATGAACCATACATAATCTCCATCTTCGCCCATTTGAATGGAACTCTTGCACCAGGCCACTGCCGCGAGGCTGGGACGGACACCAAAACAGAACCGTGGCGCGTTGGGCACACCATCATTCTGTCACATGCGGTGGTAGTCCAGATGTACATGAATGAGTTTCATTCTTTGCAGAAAGGGCAGATATCGATTGTACTCAACGGACACTTCTATGAGCCGTATGATTCCGAGAATCCACTCGATCGGGATGCTGCCGAACGCCGGCTCATCTTTTACATTGGCTGGTTTGGAGATCCTGTGTTCCTTGGGGGAGATTACCCGCCGGTGATGCGAGCCTATCTTGGCTCTCGACTGCCTGAATTCACGCCGGAGGAGCTTCAACTCCTCGCACACACGGCCCCGATGAATGCATTCTATGGAATGAACCACTATAGCACGAAGTATGCCCGTGCCTTGTCTGATCCCCCAGCCGAGGACGACTGGACTGGTAATATCGAAGAGTTACCCACAAACAGCAATGGAGAGGAGGTCGGACCTGTCACAGGCGTATCCTGGCTTCGAGTTGCACCCAATGGCTTCCGCAAGCTACTCAACTGGGTTTGGAACCGTTATCATCTACCTGTCATTGTTACTGAAAATGGATGTCCATGCCCCGGAGAGGCCGTGGTTTCGATAGCCGTCAAAGATGTGCTTCGGCAACGATACATTGGATTGTACCTAGATGCCATCTCACGAGCCATTTATGAAGATGGAGTTCCGGTGCACGGATATTATGTATGGAGCTTAATGGACAACTATGGTAGGCTTTTCCTTCAAGCGATGGAATATCCAGGCTAACATTCTTCAGAGTGGTCTGCTGGCTACGGGCCTCGATTCGGCATTATTCACGTCGATTTCGAAACTTTGGATCGGACGGTGAAGGATTCAGCTCATTACCTGAAAGCCACCTTTGAAAGACGTAGAGAAATTTCTCAATAGCCCGGACATTGATCAAGGGAATACCCAGAATGACATTGTAATTTACGTTTAGATCCATAGGGCGCATACATTTTCACTTTACCTCATCTCGTGACTCGCCCCAAGCTTTTACGAATGGAATTTGAGAAGCGAGTAGCCAGCCACTACCAATCCATACCTCTTACTTACCTGCCGGGTATATCTTACGTAACCAAGGCCCCACAGGGCTCCAGGGCTCCAGGGCTCCAGGGCTCCACCAGCCTTGGGTTCCCCGGTCTGGTGCACGGACCTCTCCACGCCTCCCCAGACTTATTTTCTCCGTGGCCGCTCTCTTGACAATTGACAATCCCTGTTGGATATTATTTTCAATATTCCGTGGAGAAAAAGCGAAGAATGCCTCCATTAAGACGGGCATTGACAACCCGTGCATGCGATTCTTGCCGACGCCGAAAGGTCAAATGTGATGTATGGTGATGCGCTCTTCCTTGAAGCACAGACTAACGCGGGAAATAGGCAGAAGAAGTGTGTGGCAATTGCCGGATCTCCCAATTGCAATGCTCTTACACCTCATCCCCACAGAAACGGGGACCAAAAACTCCTCGAAGATCAGCGCCCGCACTAGAACGCCTAGAAACTGAAGCAACACCGCCAGTGACTGGTGGCCCAGGGGTAGAAGATTTGATATGGCCCAGCCCAAACGCAAGCGAGGCAACAGCAATATCCCAAACACGAACGCTGACGACTTCAGCAGCTGAAACCGACCTGACTCCCTCAGCTCGGTTGGCCCAATCTATCAGAGATAATTTTATGGAACTCATGAACTCAGTGCTGCCTTCATTACCTGTACTGGGCATCACGGAGCACTGCATCGACCTTTACATGCAGTATACATTTCCAACAGCTCCGATAGTCCATGAACCCACTTTACGAGCAGTTGCCAGGCAATTCTTTTCTGGGATGGACGTGGTGGAGCTGTTCAGGGTAGATAGCCACCAAGAGGAGGTTACTTTGATGCGAAATTTCTCCCTCATCACCGGTCTCTGTGCCGCTGTCGCATCGATAATACCCCAGTCTATCTTACAGTATCGGGAATTAATCGCGAGGCTATGTCTGAACTCATCTCGAGAAATGCTGAAGATTATTGAGGACTTTGACGTGGAACATCCAAATTCTACGTCAATATCCACCCGGATATTTCACACTATCGCTTTACAGAACATTACTGGTACAGCACAGTTGGCCCGTTATGTTCTCGGTCAAGCAGCTCTAATAGCACTAAATATGCGTCTATACAGCGAGGACACCCTCAAGAGCCATGATGCCCTTGAGGCCCAACTACTGCGCCATTCCTACTGGCAAATGTATGCAGCAGATCAGGCATCTGCATGTCTGCGCAACCGCCCGTTTCAACTCCATGATCTGCTGTACGACGAAGAGCCAACGATTTGTCCTCCGACGGCGGAGCTTTTGATTTCTCAGGTTGACATGAGCAAAACGTCTTATGACGAAGGAATGGAAAGGCGTCTGCTCATAGGTTTCTATTTTCTTCCGCGCCTTTGGTCATCGGCAGCGAGTCTCATTTCTGAATTAAAGATTCATGGAAAAGGGAACCGAAATGTCGAAAAGGCACGGCTGACCCATTATTACATGGAATTTCTCGGTATCATGGACGATCTTCCTACCTGGTTGCAGGCTTCGAACATAATAATCTCCTCTGACGACGGAAATGTTGTTCAATTCCAGAAGACAGCTTTCTGGGTTCAGAGATGTACAATTCTAGTAATATTCCAGTGCTTACGATTGCTTATTCTACAGCAATGCATCGAAAGCAAGCTATGTGATGTTATGGGATTGAATGATCAGCCTCTGACATTGGAGATGACAAAGATTGGGATGGTTCACGACTTTGTGCAGACTTTGGAGGATATTCCGTTTGTTTATTTGCAAGTCAAAGGAGAGCCGACCGTGAGTTTACCAAGAACCGCTTCTATCACTTAAAAATTTGCTGATCTTTCTTATTAGGCGGAAAGGATTCGCCGAGTTGGGAGTATAATCTTAGAGATCCTTGACAACGCTACCAACGAGAGAATTAAAATACGTGCTGAGCATCATTTCACTAGGCTCCTCGATATACTCTCCCGACTAGACTCCAAATCTTCGGATGTTTTGGTTGAACTACGCGAATCAAATCAAGCGAGAGTAGAGATCCGGTTACCTGAGCAATTGGTTTTATGACCCCCGTGTACTTTCAGTGTTTTTGCATGTTTCCGGCTATCTTCTAGGCATACCATCTTTGAGCTGAAATAGCTACTGAGTTAACTAAATAAAATGCTCTCTATGCGCACTAAGAATATTCAGTTTACACAGATGTGGTTGATCAGATAAATTCGTGCAACTGCGAACGGCTAGATGGTGCTATCACAGGGTATATAGCCATTGATTTCTCCTATTCTATTGAAAGCTTAGTGAAGTCGACAACCGGCCCATCATCTTCACTGACTGCAAATACACCTATCACTAGCCCCAACAAAGTCTGTATCAGTAAGCGCTAAAGCATCGATGGACGCAACCCCGTAAAACCTTCATCCGAGCCTCTCCTAGCTCAATAGAATAACGTATATCCCCGCTCCGTATATGTCATTCGACGTGTTAATTCCTGGAGGGAGTGCACTGTCCTCCTAATCTTCTGGGCATTATTTACAAGCTCAGATACAACCTCGGAGCTTGACGCCTCATAGAATACCCGAGCATAGCGGTGCTCATCTTCGTAGCAAGCGAGACCAGCTTTAACTTTCGCTGACTCGGATACACCCGACTGGCGGTAGATGGTGACGATGCTCTCACTCACCACTTAATCGACGCTGTCTGTTCCCAACAATGGTGGGCGATAGGGTAGGATGCGACAGGTCAGTTTTCGAAGCTGTAAAGGTGACCTCTGTGCCGCTGCTTGGGATATCGTATTTACTGAACTCTAGGTCCCGTATGTAGACAAAGTCAACATTTGATACGGCAGAGAGATCAGGACAGGCTTCCAGTCGCGTCAGGTGGGTGGGATTTAGTTCAACCCCCGATCAAAAGTTAACCACTCCCCATCCCACCTGCCAGAAGTCATAAAAGTTTCTCTGCCAAAGATGTACCTACCGGTGCTGTCTTTTCGCACCCAAGAAAGACACCCCACCACCTCCCTTCGCCGTCTTCAAAGGCGTTGCAGTGCCCAACGGGATGTATGTACTCGGTTTTCCGCGAGCAGTGAGGATGGAATTTTTAGGACATGACTCATATGGGCCCCAGGTATCCTTGGCGCAGGCCATTGTGGCCATATGATTCCCATGTGTGTCGCCCTCTGATATCATCAAATAGTACCGCTCGTTTCGCTTGTAGATATGGGGGCCCTCTGGATAAAGGCCGCCGGAGCCGGGCCAGATTGTCCGTTCGGGAGAAATCTTCTCCCCCGTGAGAAGATTGATTTCGAACAAATTGGTACCTGGTGCTGCAGCACCCTGCATGTACACTTTATCACCATCAAAAAAAAAGGCTGGGGTATATCCCATCGAAGTCGAAGTAAACAGGATTACTCTATTAGTTTGCCCAGATATCTTTGGTTGAAACAACAAAATTTCTCTTCACAGCCTTGGGATCCGTTGACAACTTGTCAGCACAGATGGAATTGGTGCAAATCGCGTAGAATGTCCCATTATGTTGAATTGTGGCTGCGTACAAGCCACCGGTAGCAAGCGGTACATCGCCAGTGGCTGACGGGGAACTCAAATTTCTATTTGACCTTGCTAGGCTTAACTGATCTTGCCGATAGATTGCATTGCCTAAGTAGTTATACATATCAGGGTTCTGCATAGGTGGTTTACGGAGAAAGTAGTACTTGAGTTCCGATATTCTCGTAGACAATCTAATAAGGTCACAAAACAGTACAAGATTATCGCGGAGCGACTGCTCTTTAGCCGACTATTGCAAGTCAAGGCGAGCACGCATAGCATCAAAAATTGTCTCTAAAGTGGATAGAGAATGTGATTGACCGATTAACCGTGACCAATCGGCCCCTCATACTGTCCATTTAACATAGTAGCCACCTTTCTATTTCTCCACGGGGGAATTCCAGGCCCTATCATGTCTCCGGTTTGGAGAAATCCCAAAATAATCAGGCCAGAACCACTGTGTATGGTCGTGTTTGTATTTGATTTTATGTGAGTATCTCTCGACATTTTTTTGACCTGAGGAATAAGGAAGTACGAAACCATTGCCCTAAGGCTACTGAAGTGTCTGCGAAGTCATAGAGGATATAGACCGAAACTAATGTAATGCCAATATCATCGCCAGAAGACATCCACAGCAAACCAACATCTAACGATATTAATAGTAGAATAGAGGATAATGAAGGGGTATGGGAATAGTTAATGGGGGAACATGCCACCCACATTTCAGACTCACTAGTTCCGCCACCAGGACCGGCTCCGTGGAGAAATTGGAGAAATTGCATACGCGGGGGTCATGCCTTAAAGCTCCCTCAACTCCATGCGTGGAGACTCCGCAACCTTTAGTGTTTACCCCCACAGTCTTGTCCGGGGTGTATGGGGATTACAGTGGCCAATGACATAGGGCAACCCATTGGCACTAAGGCTTTTGTTACAGAGAAGGCCAGGGACTAGTAAGTACGCTGGTAAAATCACTGTATTGCGCTGTAGAGAGAGAAAGAGAAGAAGCTATCTACAGATGCTAAGACTAATGTACTGGGAGCAAACAGTGGTGGTCACGTGACCTTCCAACACCCCCCACGACTAGTGCAATAGTCGTCACAACATAGTTTAAACAACTTGACAGAAATAGACGGATACGACAATGTATGGTAAATCTGACATATGTAAATTCTCTAACTAACTAAAATGACAAGATCCGCTCTTTTCCAATCTCGGCGGACATAGCTGATTAAGCAATGTATGTATTTTTGTATGGTACCGTTATCATGACGGTCCATTGATTTCCCGGTTTGTAAAGACCTGGTAATTTCAGCATGCATAAATGCATAGTACTTGACACACCCCCCAGTTCTTGAAGCTATTCAAAGCTCTCAAGGACTGCCTTTCTTCCAACTGTTTCGCAGCTGCTTCGCAACCGCTTCGCAAATGATTCGCAAGTGATTCCAACTTACCTCACCTGTCTCCTCACTGATCTCGGCTCAAATCGTCGATTTATGCAGTTTCCGCAAAACAGCCTCTGTTCTCAGAGGTCATGTGACGAATCATGTGACCTACGTCCCTCATTCCAACCAACTCTCTGAAGTGTCCCTGCTTCTGCTTCGTCAGAGCTTTGGTGAGCCCATCTGCTGGCATCGCAGCAGTTGGTACCCAGTCCACATATACTCGACCTGCGCTAACTTCTTGCTTCATCCAGCATCGATTGATGTCAACATGCCGGAGCTTCGTATGCATCGCGGCCCCTTCCTTCGTCAATAAATCGACAGTTTGCTGGTTGTCACACATGATGGATAGTGGGTGATCTGGTTCGAAGCCTAGTGCATTAAGCACTCGTCGCCACCACTGTACGGTTTTTCCTGCCTCTGCTAAAGCTAGTAGTTCGGCCTCGGTAGTCGATGTGGTGACAGTCTTCTGCTTAGTGGCCTTCCAATCGATTGGGCCACCATATAACTTGCAGATATACCCTTCGGAGCTCTTTCGATCTTTATGGTCTCCGAACGACGCATCGCTTGCAAATTCAACTGATTTCGCCGCCATCGTCAGGGTCGTATCTCGATTTCTAGGTTGTTTGTTTGGTGTTCTGATGCCGTATTCAATGGCCCAAAAGCGTGTCTCATAGAGATACTGTATGATGCGATCGACTGCATCTATATGCTTTGGTCCTGGATTTGTAAGGAATTCAGCCACTTTGGAGGTTGCTTTTGCAGCATCTACCCGGGTAATGGTGGTGGCATACTGCGCAGATCCAACCTTGGCCTGGAAACCATGAATCTGTTGCGGTGATGCCACCCCATCATAGGGTACTAGAGGCTCAATGCTCAGTGGGGACCCTATTTTTCTCTCTGTGACGAGATTGTATTTGTGTGCCATGCTCTCGATGTAGCTATCTTGGCATAACCAGAGCTTCTTCTGCTCTCTATCACGTATAATACGTATATTCAAGAACCAGCTTGCATCCAGTTCTCGAAGCTCCCATTGCTTCTTTAGATTTTGATCTAGTAAAGCGGCTTCTTTAGCCTGTTTGGGGTGATTGACGATGATGATATCGTCCACGTAGAAAAAGACAATAATGCCTTTGGTTGTAAAGATGCATGGATCTTCTTCCACTGGGGTAAGGCCTAGTTTTACTAGCACCTTTGTAGCTTCTTGCTGCCAAAGCCTTGGTGACATGCGCAATCCGTAGAGGGCTCTATGCAGGAGCCAGCACTGATTTAGTGCTTCGAAGCCTGGTGGACACTTGGTATAAACCTCGCTTTCTAGCATTGAATTCAGGAATGCGGTAACCACATCTCTCTGAATCATATCTAGATCAAAGGCGGCAACTAGTGCGAATACTGCTCTCGCTGTTTTGACAGCTAGTGTAGCAGCTCTCTTTTCTTCAGTTGACATCCACTGTAGATCTCCTCTCACGCAGATTCTTGCTTTGAACTTCTCGAGCATACCATCTGCATCAAATTTGTATGTAAATACCCACTTCAATGGCAAGATCTGGGTGCTCTTTTTGTTCGGTAATGCAACCTGAGAGAAGGTCTCTTTAGCCTTTAAGGTCTCAATTTCAAACTCCGCAGCTGCCTTCAATTGCGTGGCAAAGGGATGGATTTTTAGCCGCTTCCAGTTCTCTGGTGGTGGAGGCATCTGATCTCTATGCAGTCTGTTTTGCATATTGAGCTTCTTCGTAATACCTGTTGTAAAGGCATATAGAAGGCTTGGTGGCTCGGCTAGCTGTTTCTCGTCTAGCGATAGATATGCAGTGTAGTCTGGATCTGCCTTTGGCTTCCGTATTCTGGGGCCTGAGATGATGTTAGATTCATCAATTGACGCAGAGATCTCTCTAGTAGGCCGATCTTCTGGCTCTGGAGTAGGCGTATACTGCATCTCTTGTTGCAATTGACGCTCTATCTCTGCTTCATCTTCATCATATTGATCTCCCTCTCCCCCTTCAGCTTCGATCGACTGTATGACATTGATCGGATCTGGCGAAGATAGCGAGGTAGGAGATCTCTCATGTGGCGTACTCTCAATCGTAGCAATCGACGATAGTGCTCTTTGTGGTGAGGCTCTCTGTGGTGACATAGGGAAGCTCCCAGGGATCTGTTCTTGATCCCTTACCTCTATCATTGAGATATGTTCTACCACTGAAGCAGGGCCTGCCATTGAAGCCGGTGTTAAAGGTAAAACAGGTGTTTCCTTTAAAGGGGGGACCCTTGGTGTCTCCTCCCTACTATCTAGAGTTTGAGCTTGCTCCACAACTCTAGATTCCTGGATTTCTTCATTTACCGCCTCTGGTGCAGTACCTTGTTCTCGGTTTTCGACGTCATCATTGAGAGTTATGCGAGCAATTGACATCGGCATACGCATCTCTATGCTCAATTCTGACTGCGCTTCTTCCATTGAGAGCACTTGGGGCCAGTTCTTAGCGCTTAGTCCATTTGTCATAGTACTAATTGCATCTTCTTCTTGCGGTAAAGGCTTCGTTTTAGAGTACTGTCTCGATTCATCGAATACAGCATCTCTTACAACTTCAACTCTGCCTATGCCTGCTCGCCCTTTGTATGGAAACCAGATCTTGTATAGGCTCTTTGAAACATAGCCTACAAGATAGCCGATCTCTGCTCTCGGAGCCATCTTGTTAGATTGTACTCTCTTCAGAAGCCTTGAGTACGTTAAGCACCCATATAGCCTCATATTCGACAGGTTGACAATTTGATCTTTTAAGCCATCTGGAGCCGCATAGCGCATCAATTCCTTCCATGGTATGATCCACTTACCATCCATCTTTGTAGGGGTACGATTCATCATATATGCAGATGCATACATCGTCTCTGGCCATAGATTGTGGGGTAGGTTCGTACCATTGAGCAATGCTCTGCCGTTCCTTACTATCATGCCTCCAGATCTCTCTGCTGGTCCATTCATCTCTGGCAAGCCAGGTGGTGCATGCTCAATGGTACACCCTTCGTCTTCAATCATAGATTCAACCTCATTGCCGGCGCTTCTCTCATTATCATAATGAAATACCCTGATCTCGATTTTCAACCAGTTTCGGATCAATGCTAAGAATTTACGAACTGCCATCTGACACTCGCTCTTCTTTATATGGGTAAATACGAAGTGACACCTTATTCCATCGAGATAGAAGTGCGTCATCCATATATGACCGTTGTAGGCAGGCTGGTTTTGTACTAGATCGAAGTGTACTCTCCCTAATATACCATATGCCTGGCCTATCTTCCGGCGAGAGATTTGCCTAGGTGCATCTGCCAATTGACAAGCTTCACATACCTGCATTTCTTTGCCTG